TATATATATATATATATATATATATATATAGACAATGCGGAATTGACTATTGTGATGGTAATGGTGCATGTTTGTGGTTTGCTAAATGCTTCATATATGATATATATGAAGCAGCTGGGAATGGAACTATGCCTTCCTCTTTGCACTATCTTGTTACTCTGAGCTTGTAAATTATGCTAAAATGGTTCTTGAAAATGTTTGCTAGTTGAAGTGAAGTGGGCTATTTTCATATATCTTGGTCTCATTGTGTTCCATATAATTCGAATGCATCTATACTATTTTATGAGATCCAAAGTAGCATTTACTTGATGAATTGGTGACATTAGTGTTTCATACCATTTCATCCAAATTACTTGGATTTTAGAGTTCCTTCTACAGTTCATTATGAAATTATATTTGTCAGAACTGTTGTTGTTGAGTAGAAAATAATAATTAATTGTAATTATACAAAAGGAACATACTAATCGTTTCTCATTGCTTGATGATTATATTCAGATTATATCAAATACAACTATTTCAAGACCAGAGCCAATAAATAGGTTGCCAGTGGCTCAAGAAGCCGGCGGTTTGAGTGGCAAGCCTCTTTTCAAATTGTCTACCGATATTCTCAAAGAGATGTATCTTTTGACACGAGTATGTTGAAGAGTTCATTTTATCATCTTTCTCGAGGATCATTTTATTAAAAATGTTCATGGTAATGAGACTATTGGAAACCACGGCTCATTGAGTCATCACCATCCATTGGATTGATGGACAGTGATGCAGGGAGAAACTGGAGCCCATCTTTTGGGGTTGTGATGTTCTGGGGATCTGCACTCTCTCCATCAACTACCATCTTTTCTATGGATGGTGATGATCCAATAAACTATGGGTTTCCCTTAGTTCTTTGGTTGCAATGTATAATGTGAGCAATGGTCACCATTTCCACATGATTGATGTAAGCAATTGTCACCATTTCCACATGATTGCTCTCGTTTCAATATTTTTTATATAATTGATTAACTGTAGTGTTATCCTGCATTTCCTTATAACCTGTTCTAAAATTCTAATGTTTCTTTTGTTAATACTTAATTAGGGAAAAATTACTCTTATTGGATGTGGAGGTGTAAGCAGGTACAAGCTGTTGAAGAAATCAGTTGCTACTTTGTCATCATTTTCTTCAATCTTTTGTATTTGATTATGCAGCTAATGACTTTCTTAAAATGCATTTTTGTGCAGTGGTGAGGATGCATATAAAAAGATACGAGCTGGAGCAACCCTCGTTGAGCTTTATACTGCCTTTGCCTATGAAGGACCCGCCATAGTTCCCCGGCTAAAGGTACACATTTTTCACAGAGAGAGAGAGAGAGAGAGAGACTATCCGCTTCTATGATGAAGAACTTAGAATGATGGGTGGTATTCCTCTGTTTATATATTGTATCTTGCAGAAATTCGTACGGCTAGAATGGCCATATTACTCAACAAAATGACCAAAATTACCTTGTAGGCTTCTGGGAATTACCCTAAATAAGCTTGATTTTTTGAGTATATCATAGTTACAGGGGCTATGACATAAGGTACTCCATGGCTAGATCTCCTATGCATTTCCACTGCAGGATGGTCTTTGATTATCTAGAGTTGCAGGCATATTTCTTTCACCTTGTTACGGTTGGACCATCCATGATTACAATGGACAGTGGATGTAGTCCTGGAGTGGCATTACCTTTTCCAATGGACTTTATGATGTCTTAACTCTGATCTGTGTGTCTCGGTCTAATGGTTTTCTTTGAATTCAGGCGGAACTAGCGAAATGCTTGGAAAGGGATGGTTTCAAATCTGTCCACGAAGCTGTTGGTGCTGATTATAGATGACCATGATCCATTTGTCCTTACAGTGGTCCTCATACTTTCTCTTGTACCACCCAAAATCAAAGGAATTTACTTGTAACTGCTTCAAATTAAAGCATATAGGATTCAAATTATCGACGGCTATTGAGAAAATATAGGAACATGATGAGCTGCTTTTTGCTTGGAGAGAATTTGTTTGTGGGAGTGGGATAGTGGTGTGCCATAGAAATTCATTGTCAATTTTCTTGCGGAACATTTTTGTAGTTATGGAATATTATGAATACATGTTTCATCTTTTAGTATTTGAAGCAAGTGATCAAAAATTCGGAATCAGGCCCTAGGGATTCAAATGGGCTTTGCCTTGTTTGATGCGAGTGTCTCTCAAGTTTAGGGATGGCAATGGCTGCCCTGTCAGCCCGGCCCCGAAAAGGAAGGGCTGGGCTAGAGCCAGTTTCAGCCCATTTCGGCCTGGCCCGGCCCCGCCCTCTTTTTTTTTCTTTTTTGCCCTTTTATCTGTTCTTTATGTGTTTTTGGCCCAGCCCAGCCTTGTTAGGGCGCGACCAGGCTTGGGCCAGTCTATGGGGACAAGGCCTATACCAGGAGCAAAGTTGGCTGGGCCTGTTGCCACCCTTATGGTTGAGTTTTACCAGGTGACAAATTAACTAAAAATATATTAAAAACTGGGAGAATCAGGCGGATACGGTTTTGCCCACCTCCCTTTTCCAATCTGACTTTGGTCTTTCCTCCCTGGAGTGCAGAATCAGGGGTCAGAAAAAAAAAAATGTAAATTATGAAAATTGAACGACATTCTTTACCAGCAAAAAATTAAATGACATTTACATTAATTTTCTTATTTTCTAATCTTAATATTAAATGATATTTACATTAATTTTCTTATTTTCTAATCTTAAGTTAAATTTAGTTACAAGACCATATCCAGACAGTTCACCATGCCTTTTCCGGACCTGACTCTAAACATTCCGCTAAGGTTTGCTGAAATCTCAACGCCTGACCTTCAAATCTCATCTTAGCTTACCCCACCCAGATGGAACCCTAAATCTTCTTTCTCATCGTCTGCCATTTTCTCACTCTAGAAACATGCTTCAAAAAAGGTAACATGCAAAGAGAAACAAAATTGGTTCTTGCTCTCAATTCAACGTCCCTCTTAGATTTCCGAAATTCAATATTCTTCTCTTCTCAACCGTGAGAAAGAAAGAGATACTTCGTTTCGATATGCATTTTTAGAGAGATTTAGAAGAGAATAGCATTAAGCCAGCCCATGTCCACCTTTTTAGGAGAGAGAAAAGGAGCAACTTTGGAAGAAAGTGAGGTTTCTGCCCCATGAGGAGAGAAAATGAGCTTTTGGAAAGAGAGCATCTAGAGAGGAGAGGGAATCTGAATTTGGTACTATAGTGAGGCTATAATCCTGTTCTGAGAGAGAGAGAGAGAGAGAGTTTTGGGAAGCAAGGGGGTGTTCTTTTGGGATGGCTAATATAGCTTGGCACATATTGAACATGTCCTCCCCCAGGCAAAAGAGCTGTTTGGAAGGAATCCTCTTCCAAAATTGGACAATCCTTAAATTTTTGTGTTCCAGGATAATTAAGTTCAAAAGGAAAAATAGATTTTAATTGTTGGTGAAGTAAATTTGGGAGGACTTTAACATGAGAATCAAGATTCCTTTCATTTTAGTTTCTCACTCCTCTCACAAGAACTGTCAATTCCTTTCCCTTCTCTCTCTAAAATTCTGCACAGGGTTAAGAACTCTTGGCCAAGTCTATGCTTTGAGGCCTAACAACAATAAACACGTCTCTCTAGAACCCCATGATTTTGACAAAATCTGTCTCTCCTGTTCTTATTTACTCTCTCTCTCCAGCAAGAGCAAATCCCCAATGGCTGGTGCTCATGGCCATGCTCAAATAATCAAGTATGGGTTCATCAAGAACACATTTTTGCTGAACAATTTGCTCGTAATGTATTCCAAGTGCCACTGTTTGGGCGAAGCCCGCAAAGTTTTTGATCAAATTCCTGATAGAAACCTTGTATCTTGGACTTCCATGATCACTGGAACTGTTCAGAATGGAGAGCTGGTAGATGGGTTGTTTCTCTTTCTAGAGATGAAAAGGGGAGGATTCATGGCCAATGAATTTGCCTTGGGTAGTGTTTTGATGGCCTGTTCAGGCTTAGAGGCTCTGAACTTTGGGTTTTCATTGCATGGTTATGCTCTAAAGATCGGAATTGAGCTTAACTTATTTGTTGGGTGTGCTCTATTGGATTTCTATGGAAAACTAAGGCTCATTTCCATGGCAGAGCATATCTTTGAGAGCATTACAGATCCTGATGTAGCATGTTGGAATGCCTTGGTTGCATGTTATGTGAATAATAGAGTTGCAGAGAAGGCATTCATGGCTGTTTCATTTATGCATAAGCAAAATTTACAGTTAGACCAGTTCACCTTCCTAGTCATGCTTAAGGCCTGTTCCATTTCTCGCAATTTTGATAGTGGGCGCCAAGTCCATGCCTTGATTATCCAATCTAGGGTGAGAAAAGGCCTCTCAGTTTTGAATTCCCTCATTGATATGTACTTTAAGACTGGTTCAAGCTTGTGGGGCATGGCACTCTTTGAAAAAATGGAAGAGAGAGATATCATCTCATGGAACACTGTAATTGCAGGCCTTGCTCAGATTGGAAACAAGAAAGAGGCTGTTAGTGCTTTCAAGAAAATGCTATTAGAAAGAATCAGGCCAAACCACGTCACTCTTTCTCTACTTATTCGACTATGCTCTTCTAATGGAGATCTGGATCTTGGGTTTCAGATCCACGGCCATGCTTATCATCATACACTAGCCGATGATTCCCATATTGCAGTTTCTCTTATCCATATGTATGCTACATTTGGCATTATTGAATATGCAGAGTGTGTCTTCAAATGCATGAATTTTAGAAGCACAAACACATGGAATGAGATGATATCAGGATACTTAATGAACCAGAGAGGCATTCAGGCATTGAGGATTTTCTCTAAAATGTATAATTCAGGGATGAAACCAAATGAATTCACCTATTCAAGCGTTTTAGGAGCTTGTTCTAGCCATGAGTACTCTAAGATGGGAACCCAACTTCAAGCTACCATAATTAAGTCTGGTTTTGATTCATACTGCTTTGTGGGTAGTTCACTGATTTATTCTTACTCTAGATTTGGATCGATAGATGATGCTTTGAGGGTTTTCTATGACATGGAGACTTTAGATTTGGTATGTTGGGGTGCCATGGTCTCTGGTTTATCTCGCCATGGTTTCTTCCATGAAGTTCTAGAGCTTTTGAACCAGCTAAGAGAAGAAGGTGAGAAACCAGATGGTTCAATTTTGAGCAGTGCTCTCAATGCCAGCACTAATCTTGCAAGTCTAGACCAGAGCAAAGGCATCCATGCCTTGGTTCTAAAAATTGGGCTCGAGAGGGATGTATTTGTGGCAAGCGCCACAATAGATATGTATGCTAAATGTGGAGATATCTCTAGCTCACGCCTGGCGTTTTACAGTGCAGAGAAAACAATTGTGGACAATGAAAGAGATCCCGTATTATATAATGCCATGATCATGGCTTGTGCGCACCATGGACTTGCAGAGGAGGCCCTCCAACTTTTCGAGAAGATGGAGAAGGTGAGTTTGGAGCCAAACAATGCCACTTTCATGGCTGTGATTTCGGCATGTGCCCACTTAGGCCTTGTGAGAGAAGGGTGCCAATACTTTGATTCCATCAAGTCAAAATATGGATCACAACCATCGGCCAAGAATTATGGGTGCTTAGTTGATCTACTGGGCCGATTTGGGTTTCTAAAGGAGGCAAAGAGTGTTATAGAGAGCATGCCTTTTGAGCCATGGCCTGAAGTATGGAGATGTTTATTGAGTGGTTGTAGGATTCATGGGAATAAGGAGTTAGGAGAGATTGCAGCTGAGAAGATCCTTAAGATTATTCCTGATGATCGTGCGACTTTCTTATTGCTACTAAACATTTATAATAGAGAGGGAAACTGGGAAGATGCGGAGAGATTGAGAACGTTGATGGAAGAGAGAGGGCTGAAAAAGAAGCCTGGACATAGCAGGGTTGAGACCAAGGGTGTGGTCTAAGCATTTGTTGTGGAAACATGGAACTGAACATTCAAATCAGAGAGACAATTCTTTCTTCAATAAGCAAGAGCCTGATGCAAAATGTCTTTTGATTGGTAAAAGTTTAGAGAGAGATCCAAATGAGCAAGGGAAACGAAACACATAATTCTCTATTCAATAAGCAAGACCCCTGATGCAAAACTGTATTTTGATTGATGAAAAAAATCAAATGATTCAATGAAGAGACGTAATATATTGCCGGCAGCTCTGCTAGTTTTATGGAGCATGATCAGATACATGGAAATGGTAAAGAAACTTGAAGCAATATTGCAGTACAGCCACCCAACTGCTCGTCACTCTAGAATGGAATCTGGCCAGTGGCCACCAATTGCGTTTAGAATCTTTTTGTTGCATTGGAAAACATGAATAAACATGGAATTTGAAGCAATCCAGAGTTGCAACTGATCAGATTCATTGTGAATCCAAGGTTACAGTTCTGTATATTTTCCATATACATTTTATATTTGTGAATAAGGATTAAGGGAATATTCATTGTCTAATGTTAGTTTGAACTAATCGGATAGTAGAAATGATTATCTACCCATTTGACCAGAATTTGCCAAATAAGAAAAATAAGGCCAAGTTGGTACACATAACTGCAACCATCAAAAGGCAAAACAAACAACTGCAACTACCAAAACAAATAACACAAAACATTCTTTCCATGTTCTCCAAATATAAGGATTTCCCAAAATAAACATCATTTACACAGCCCAAAATTTTTGCCTCTCTGTTTTATCTCTTCTAACGTCAAGCTTTCTGTTCCATTTTTTTTGTTCTTTCACTCTACTTCCTTTAGAAAATGAGGGTTTATCAGGCCTGAAATCTCGAGAAACCCGACACGATCTCTCCCTCCAAATATGGTCTTGAGCTTCTCATCACACACAATAATCTTCTTGTTCTCTGGATCCTGTAGAAAGAGAAGATTATTGCATAAATAAATAGTTATGTCACTTTTTTTTCCTCGCTTGCAATTTTGGAGCTCATATCCATGAAGAACAGTTTAAAATTTACCAGTCATGTACAAGTAAAATGGTTTCACTGAGAACTCCCACACTCTCCAAAACCATTAAATAAAACTTCTGGATAAGGCAAATCTATTTACCATGAAATTTAATGCCATCCCAAAGCAAAAGGAACTTAAAGGTTTTTCAGTGTTCTACAAAAGGGAAAGAGAGAGTTAAAAACTGAAAATACAAACTAAATGTTTCTGGTTTTTTAACCTGTGAAGTCTCTTTAAAAAACAAAACTAATGCCATATTAGTACATATGGCTGATATTTACAGATAAACAGAAGAAAAGAGAACCAGTGCAAAGTAATCAAAGAAAAAGAGATTACTGCATTCCCCAATCCGTAGTCACACCAGAAGAACAACTAGATAATGCAGGGAAAAAAGGCCCATTTTTCATAGCCATCAAGAAGAGACATTACATTAGCAAAAAAACAGAGAGACATAGAGAGAGAGAGAGAGAGTGAGAGCAGAATAAGGAAGCATTCTTCTAATGGCAATGAAAGAAAAACACAGTACGCTAAAAGTCCAAGCTTCACTGGAGCTAACCTGAAGGTTGTGCTCTTTGATATAGGCCCAAATAAGCTTCAGGGCCTGAGTTCGAGGAATCTCTGAAACCCCCAACAAGTCTCTCATGGCGGGGGACACAGGCCTCGGCTTGGTGATGCCCCGCGGCTCTCTCTTCTTCTTCACAGCGGTGGAGGGGGGCCGTGGTGCGGCGCAAGCGGCTACTTGCAGGCACGCGGGTTGCGCGAGGCGGAGAACATGTCGGGCTGCAATGGAAGGGTAAGATGCCTTGGAAGAAAAATCCATGGTTGGATTTGTAGAGAGAGAAAGAGTCATGCTTGGATGGGTAGAGAGAGGGAGGAGCACAAGTTGGGCGGCAATGGTATGGTATGGGGGTTTGAAAATGGAGTAAGAGGTAGAGAGAGAAAGAGCCATGGTTGGATGCGTGCAGAGAGATTGAGAGATGGTGTAATCGGTTGTGTTTTTAGAGAGAGGAAGGA